CAAACTCAGAGATCTGCTTAACTCTCTCTCCCAAGTGCATGGATTAAAGATATATGGCACCATACTAGGTTTAGGTTCTATCTCTTAAAAAGCCTACCATTAAGGGAGAATTGAAAAATCACCTCAATCTTTTTTGGTGTGGTCTAAGGTTAAGGACATCGTTCCTAGAGTGCATTCCCAGACAAAGAACGAGAGAGCAGAAGAAATGTTAAGGAAACCTTTAATGAAGTCAGGATTTAGGGAAAGGCTATTATGTATCACATAAAAAGACAAGGCAATTCGTGTAAGAAAATAACAAAGAACCAGTAGTAGCAAGTCTTTGTTTATTGAGGTAGGCATGAAAATTTGCATTCTGCTCAGGATAACTTGATTGATGGGTGTGAAAACTACATTTTATCTCCTTAGGCCACCTAAGAAATAAATAATTAACTACATTATATTGTTTTTGGTGTAATTTTCCAGTCAGTTAAAGAATGTTCTGTGTGGTCCAAAACTCAGCATGGATGTTTGAGATAGGAGATGTCTAACCAAACATATTGTCACAAGTTTGCTTTTCAGCTATTGCTAGTTTGGGACCAGAAAGACATGGATTATTTGTCATCCTTTAGTTTTGTGGCTAACCTAAGATTCCAAGTTGTTCTTCTAGTTCATTTTATAATGAAAAATTGAGAAATAATTTGAGGATTGCTTAGTGAAGCACGGGCATTTGAAAGTTTTAAGCTGCTTCTTTAAGAATCTGTCTTTTGGGTATATGCCTAGGAGTGGTATGGCTGGATCTTGAGGAAGCGCTATTCCTAGTTGTCTGAGAAAGTGCCAGATTGATTTCCAGAGTGGTTGTACAAGTTTACATTCCCACCAGCAGTGGAGGAGGGTTCCCCTTTCTCCACAACCTCTCCAGCATGTGTTGTCACTTGAGTTTTTGATCTTGGCCATTCTGATGGGTGTAAGGTGAAATCTCAGGGTCATTTTGATTTTCATTTCCGTAATGGCTAATGAGGTTGAGCATTTCTTTAAGTGTTTCTCTGCCATTCGATATTCCTCTACAGAGAGTTCTCTGTTTAGATCTGTTCCCCATTTTTTAATTGGATTACTTGGTTTACTGCTTTTCAGCTTCTTTAGTTCTTTATATATACTGGATATTAGCCCTCTGTCAGATAAAGGGTTGGTGAAGATTCTTTCCCAGTCTGTAGGCTGTCGTTTTGTTTTGATGAGTGTCCTTTGATTTACAGAAGCTTTTCAGTTTCATGAGGTCCCATTTATTGATTGTTGCTCTTAGAGCCTGTGCTGTTGGTGTTCTGTTCAGGAAGTTGTCTCCTGTGCCAATGAGTTCAAGGGTATTCCCCACTTTTTTTTTTCCTAACCGATTTAATGTGTCTGGCTTTATGTTGAGGTCTTTGATCCATTTGGATTTTAGTTTTGTGCAGGGTGATAAGTATGGATCTATTTTCATTTTTCTACATGTAGACATCCAGTTAGACCAGCCATACCACTCCTAGGCATATATCCAAAAGATTCTCAAGTACACAAAAAGGACATTTGCTCAGCCATGTTTGTAGCAGCTTTATTTGTAATAGCCAGAAGCTGGATACAGCCCAGATGCCCCTCAACTGAAGAATGGATGCAGAAATTGTGATACATCTACACAATGGAGTATTACTCAGCAATGAAAAATAAGGAAATCATGAAATTTGCAGGTAAATGGTAGGACCTAGAAAGGATCATCCTGAGTGAGCTGTCCCAGAAGCAGAAAGACACACATGGTATATACTCACTCATATAGACATATAATATAGGATAAACCTACTAAAATCTGTCCATCTAAAGAAACTAATCAAGAGAGAGGGCCCTGACTAAAATGCTCAATCCCCATCCCAAAAGGCAAAGAGGATGGACATCAGAAGAAGAAGAAAACAGGAAACAACCTAGGAACCTGCCACAGAGGGCCTCTGAAAACCTCTGCCCTGCAGACTATCAAAGCAGAAGCTGAGACTTATGGCCAACTGTTGGGCAGAGTGCATGGAATCTTATGTAAGAAGTGGGAAATAGTAGGTTATGGAGAGGACAGGAACCCCACAAGGAGAGCAACAGAACCAGAAATTTTAACACAGGGGTCTTCCCAGAGACTCATACTCCAACCAAGGACTATTCATGGAGATAACCTAGAACCCCTGCACAGATGTAGCCCATGGCAGTTTAGTGTCCAAGTCGGTCATATAGTAATGGGAAGAGGGACTGCCTCTGACATGAACTGATTGGCCTGTTCTTTGATCACCTCCCTCTGAGGGAGGAGCAGCCTTACCAGGCCACAGAAGATGACAATGCAGCCACTCCTGATGTGATCTGATAGGCTAAGATCAGAAGGAAGGAGAGGAGGACCTCCCCTATCAGTGGACTTGGGGAGGGGCATGCATGAAGAAGGGGGAGGGAGGGTGGGATTGGGAGGGGAGGAGGGAGGGGCTTATGGGGGGATACAAAGTGAAAAAGTATAATTAATAAAAAATAAAATAAATAAAAAAAAGAATCTGTCGTCTTTAATCCAAGCACTCAGGAAGCAGAGACAGGTGGATCTCTTTGAGTTCAATGCCAGCCTGGTGTACAAAGTGAGTCCAGGACAGCCAAGGCTACACAGTGGAACCCTGTCTCAAAAAACAAACCAAACCAAACAAAAAAAAAATCTGTCTTCTCTCCCATTTCCCTAATTCCTTGCCTACCTATCATGAAGATGCTGTGTTAGAAGCTTAGACAGACATTTTTCTATTTTTCCACAAGGTCAGAATTTATTGAATAAATAAATTCAGAAGTTATATTGGTTTTATTGGCTATGGTTTGGCAAATAGTTCCAATTTACCTTGAAAATTGTCTATTGGCAAAAATGGATTCTTTTATTTCCATCTTAATTACTAATATTAATTCTCAGACCATGCATTAATACTTCACACAATAACAAATATAAAGGTTACAGAATGACAAAAAAGGGTTAAACAGGCTGTGAAGTTCAGAGATACCATCTTGAAGTTACAGGAAAAGAACTGATGCAAGCTCCAAGGAAGAGTCTGATAAATCTTTTTTTTTTTTAACTTTTATAGGGGAGGTCCACTGATAGGGGAGGTCCTCTTCTCCTTCTTTCTGATCTTAGCCTATCAGATCACATCAGGAGTGGCTGCATTGTCATCTTCTGTGGCCTGGTAAGGCTGCTCCCCGTTCAGGGGGAGGTGATCAAAGAGCAGGCCAATCAGTTCATGTCAGAGGCAGTCCCTCTTCCCATTACTATGTAATCCACTTGGACACTGAACTGCCATGGGCTACATCTGTGCAGGGGTTCTAGGTTATCTCCATGAATAGTCCTTGGTTGGAGTATGAGTCTCTGGGAAGTTCCCTGTGTTCAAATTTTCTTGTTCTGTTGCTCTCCTTATGGAGTTCCTGTCCTCTCCAGCTCTTACTATTTCCCACTTCTTACATAAAATTCCATTCATTCTGCCCAACAGTTGGCCATAAGTCTCAGCGTCTGCTTTGATAGTCTGCAGGGCAAAGCCTTTCAGAGGCCTTCCGTGGCGGGTTTCTAGCTTGTTTCCTCTTTTCTTATTCTTCTGATGTCCTTCCTCTTTGTCTTTCTGGATGGGGATTGAGCATTTTAGTCAGGGTCCTCTATCTTGATTAGCTTCTTTAGATGTACAGATTGTAGTAGGTTTATCCTATGTTATATGTCTATGTGAGTGAGTAGTCTGATAAGTCTTATGAAGCACAGCACAGAACTATTTTTAGTTGCAGAAAGGTCAGATTCAGTTCCAGGTGACCAGACATTTCAGCTGTCAGTTTGAAGTGGGCCAAGTATCACAGGCAGGAGAAACTAGAAACTGCCCTATAGCTTAAGCTCAGGAACAGAGGCAGTCTTTTGATGTGGCAAATTCCCTGCATAAGACTCATAACAAGTGACCTTGTGACTGGTTAGTGTGCTTATCACACTTTGGTCTTCAGATGATCCTTCTTTTACAGTCCCAAGTGAGGAGGTCCTTTTTGATGGAGTTGATAAGTTCATGTGTCTGGTGTTTCTAGTATTACTTCATACATCGTGGGATATCATTTACTGGTGTAAATAAATTATCATTTTGTGCCTTCTAATGTGCTGTCAGTTAGTGGTTGTCACTTGTGTAAATAAGATATTGAGTCACTCTTCCTTGGTTCTTACAATCAAAATGGAGTAACTCAGGCTGAGACTGTTGCTTTATCAAATCTAATAATTTAAGACTAAGCAAGCCACCTTCTTATCTTCTCTACTATAACACCTTACTATCACTATACTCAGTATCAGTCCTCCAAAACATGAAACCTTAAGAAAAATATTCATCCAAACCATAGCTACACATTACTAGGGTACCAACGAAAGTTGCCCTTCTAAGTTTCTTGGGAAGATAGGGATAGTGTTAGGAGTAGACATGAGTGGGGTTGCATCTGAGGCCACAAGAGGTAGTCTGCTTCTGAGTGGATAGCCAGGACTACAGGTAACAGGCCAATATCAAACAGCTATACTTGGTTTGGTGCTTTCGTCGTGTTTCTAAACCTCCTATGTGCATTCCAATATGTCCATGCCTGCCTGCCAAATCATGGTTCCTGTGAATTGATAGCTAGGTGTCTCTTTTTTCACCAGCTTACTGACGTAGCTTGTCAAACATTGGCTTTCTGCTTGCTCTCAGGTGATACTATACTGAAGTTACAAGGTACTAATAGGTGCCTCAACTTTAATGAGAAACCCAAGGTAGAAAAACGACTTCATTTCACCTAGCTAACACCATACTACCATGATCTCATCTTTTTCTTGGTGATTTAAAAAAAGTCTTTATGTATACCATACTAACACTTATCTAGTAAGCACGTTTTCATTTGAATTTATTGACACTGTTGAAAAATTCCAGAGGCAAATTAGAAGGAAAATGTAAACAGAACAACTTTTTTTTATGCTTTGTATTTACATTCAACATGTTTTTAATGATCCCTTCTAATAGGTCTTCTTTGGCAATGTGGATTCATCTGGGATTAAGCACAATAGTTTTAATCCTCCAATTATTGCTCGGTATATTCGTTTGCACCCCACTCATTCTAGCATCCGCAGTACTCTTCGCATGGAGTTAATCGGCTGTGATTTAAACAGTAAGTGCCAAGTCATCCCATTATTTCCTTTCCTAAATAAATGTAGAATAACTAGCTGTTTTACTTATCTTGAAACTGTGAGGAGATATTTCTATCACAGAATATAGAACTCTAAGTGGTACTATCATCACAGTCTTGAAACAAACAAAACAACAAAAACAGGAGTTTCTTCCTACAGTTATACTAATCGTAGGATACTCTAGAAACAGTTATCTCCTATACTTCTATCAACAAGGAAAATAAACATCAAGCAAAACTAAGTAGGACTGACCAGAAAATCTGGGCATTTTAGCAGTAACAGAACTTGTGTAAAACTTGATGCCTGATAATGATCATGATGACACTATCTCTAGAGGATTGAAGGCAGTGAAAATAAAACCTAGGCTGCAGCCTACCCATGTGACATTATGCTTTCATTTCTTTGAGGTTGCAGCATACCATTGGGAATGGAGAGCAAAGTAATATCAGATACACAAATTACTGCCTCATCCTATTTCACCAATATGTTTTCCACTTGGCTTCCTTCACAAGCTCGACTTAACCTCCAGGGAAGGACTAATGCCTGGCGACCTCGGGTAGGAGCAACATATTTATCTCGTAACTCATGAAAATAGAGAATAGAACCTGGGAAATAGGAAAAGCCTTTAAAAAAAACCAGGGATATCTGTTCACTGTTCTTAAGAAGAGTGTTTAGAGAGGTCAACAATGCCCCCAGAGACATTCAGTTGATATGCCATGTGATGTTACACAGCATTCACTGGAAGAAGAAATGATCTTTAATAAAGTACCTAGAGGAATCTCTGTATTCAGTACTAGGCTAATATCTGTGAAATCATCATGGTAGCTAAGTCCAATCCAGAGCTAGTGAGATGGTTCATCAGGTAAAGGTGCTTGCCACCAAACTGATGACATAAGTTCAATCCTTGGTATCCACATTAGGGGAAGGAGCGAGCCAACTCCTCCACATTGTCCTCAGACCCCCACAGAGGTTCCATGGCCATGAATGTGCATGTGTGCACACACACACACATACACATGGACACGGATAAATAAGTAAATAAAGTTCAGAAGAGTATTATTATTTTGAATGAAAGTTTGGCTACTACATTGCCAGACTTTATATTCTAGTAGATATGTTCTCTAGATTCATTCAGAACTTACTAGAAACCTATTAAGTGGGTGACCAGAGGACACTGAAAATAGAATGATGAAAAATTTCGCCCTTGGGATTCTTAGTACAATAAAGGAGGCAGACAAACCTTTATGTATAGTGATGACTACTGTGTAGCTTAAAAGATAGTTGTGGATTTCTGAGAGAAAATAGTGACAAAGGAAAATTTATTCAAATATCTCTTCCTCAGGTGAATGATCCAAAAGAATGGTTGCAAGTGGACTTAAAAAAGACAATGAAAGTTACTGGAATAATAACCCAGGGAGTGAAATCTCTCTTTACCAGCATGTTTGTGAAAGAGTTCCTTATTTCCAGCAGTCAAGACAGCCATCACTGGACTCGAATTTTACAGAATGGCAAAGTAAAGGTATGTTCTCATAAGAAAGTGTGTATGGTCACTCAAGCCTGTAATCCTTTCACTCAGCTCAAGGCCAGCTTAGATTACAGAGTAAGACCCTGCCTTCAAAAATGAATAAAGGATACAACACCTGTCTTAGTTCTTCACATTTAGAAGTAAAACCAGATTGATTTGTGACCACCCTCTCAAGATAAAATTTACTAAATACCTATATTAATGCTATTTTTATAAAACTGTGTTTGTTTCTCAGTTTGTGTCTTAACCCAGCTACCACATAAATGAGACTCTATTATATTATCTAAATGAGTTTCACAGCACAAGAACTAAACAGTTATTACACTATTCTTTACCCTCTAAGCTAATCTGGTTTCCTCCTAGCATACATCCCAGAGATACTTGCACTTAGTAGCTTCCTGATCCAGCTCCTTCTCCTGATGTTTCTTGGACCTCTGCCCATGGCTCATTTCCTGTGCTGAACCCTCTACTTCCTCTTCTAACTCTTCCTCCCCTGGCTGGCAGGAAGTCGATTCCCTGCTCAGCTGTAAGCTACTTTATTGGACTATCAGGGGACAATTGTGGAACAGTGTTTATACAACATTAAGACAAGAGATCCTTAGCACAAGGATTGCAACCAGATATGGGGGGTACAGAAATCAGCATTTGACTTATACAAACACCTTATGCCTACATACGTACATTAACAGAACACAGTGACCCCAAGCAAGGAAGTAAATTTCCAAGGGGGGAAAAATACAGCCAAGAGTTGTTTCTCACGGAAGTGGAAGCCATACAGGATGATCGCAAGAATCAAAGCTAAAGGTGCTGGAGAGATGGCTTAGAGGTTAAGAGTACTGTCTGTTCTTCCTAGAGGTCCTGAGTTCAATTCCCAGCAACCACATGGTGGCTCATAACTATCTATAATGAGATCTGGTGCTCTCTTTCTCTTTCGGCCTGTAGGCATACATGCAGGCAGAGCACTAAATAAATTATTATTTTAAATTATATAAATTAAATAAATTATTTTTTTAAAAAGAATCAAAGCTAAAGACAGTTATGCTTTTTTTTTTCAACAAATGCTTAATGATGCTTTATGCTTACTAGCAAGACTAGATTTCCAATCCATATGTTCTTCAGTCTTGATCTGGAATTTTTAGATAATTCAACAAAGCAGACCAATTATAAGTATTATACAAGGTCTTAGTATGCCATGAGTAATCGCAGTAGCAATGGTTTACATCATCTGTGGTATTTTGTAATTTTTGTTTTGTTTTGTTTTGTTTGAGACAGGATTTACTCTGTGTAGCCTTGGCTGTTTTGGACATGCTTTGTAGACCAGGCTGGCCTCGAACTCACAGAAATCTGCCTGCCTCTGCCTCCTAAGGGCTGGGACTAAAGTAGTGAGCCACCATGTCCAGCTTTTGTAATTTTTCTTTAAACCAAAAATTATCCATGGTGGGGTATGTCAGCTTTTTACTACTATAACAACCACCTGAAATAAACAACTTATAATGATGTGCCAATGGTTTATTTAGAAGATATAACAACAACAGTATAAATATAATGAATATAAGTAGAATAAAGAATTTTTAAATTATAGTTTTGTCTTGGCGGTAAAGTATAATATTGAGCCTTGACAATTTAATGCATATTGTATTTTCTGGAATAACCAGTCAATAATAGGATAGGTTATAAACCATCAAGGTTGTAAGATTCCCAAAATAGCATTAAAACTAGAGAAAGATAAACTCAACAAATAAATAAAAGCAAGTAGATGAAGACAATGAACATCAAAATAAGCAGGAAAAATAGTATAATTAGATGTCAGATTTGCCAGGCATGGTGGTACACAACTTTATTCCAAGTACTTGGGAGGCAGAGACAGGTGAATTTATGTGAGTTCAAGGCCAGCCTGGTCCACATGGTGAGTTCCAGGTTACAGAGTAAGACCCTATCTCCAGGGCTAGTATGGTTCTCAAAATTGAGACATAGGACTTGGAATGACTGTTGGAGAGGCAAGATGTAGAGGAATTTTAATTTATAATGCGTCTGTTCTGGCGAAAGATCACATCCAAAGATCTTCTAGGTCTGTATGATCTTGCTTTCCAGATCACGCCTCTAATCCAGGAGACAAAGGCAAGCAGATCTCTGAATTCAAGGCCAGCCTGGTATAAAGAAGAAGTTTCATGTAAAGAAAAGCTTAGGCCCAGGTGTGGTAGTACTTACCTTTATTCCAAAACAATGAAGGTAAAGTTCATTTGTAGAAGGAAGCACCCATGTTTGAAAGTGATGTCTAACTAAGTGGCAGAAACACTGACAAATCAGAGAAAGATTTGACAGAACAGGATACACCTAACTCTGACGAGAAGTGGTGGGGAGAGAAGCTACTTATGGGCAATGCAGAGAGAAAGGAGGCAGTTTACCAGGACAGATCTACAGAGACAGGTTGAAGAGAGACTAAGCCAGACATAGGTGAAGACAGAATGAGCCAGAGAATGAAAAGGAGCCAGAAAATTAGAGTAGATTTCTGGAGTTAGTTTGAGGCCAAGCAGAGCAATTCAGAGGCTGAGAGAGAAGCCAGTTTGAATAAGTCAGCTGACAGAGGAATTTGAACCAGAACAGCTGAGTTAAACCAACTAGCTAGTAGCTCAGAAAGAACAAGAAAGGGTGAGCTTATTAAGCAGAAAGTCTCAGAGATTGAAAACATTCTAGGCCTAGATTAGATTGTACGAAGGCTAGAAGATTCCAGGACTAGGTCTAGGTTAACAGACAGATGCAGTAAGCCTCTGAGACAACAACAGAAGCAGATGAATAAAAGTGCCTTTTACAGCAAGAATCTGCTATCTATCAAAAGTAAAGAGGTACTGGTAGTGATGAGGAAAAACAAATGTTCAGGGGTTACAGACCATGGAGTTTAGGGTTATATGTACAAGAGGGATAGCCACCATAAGGGATTGTTGCAGGGGAGCACAAAGGAAGCAAAAGGTTACATTTAGGAATCCACTGTTACTTTCATAAGTCTAGAGAAGACTCGGGGACTGCTTTTTAATAGTCTAAAGGGAGATTTCACACAGCTTTGCCTGCAGGGTGGATTCAAATTGTCTAATAACCTCAAGTATATTGTCTATAGGGGTGGCCAGTGCTTCCTCAAGGGATCTAAAAATTGCCACTCCTCTTTGAGAGGGTCTAAACCCTGCCATATAGATGTAGATTTGTCTCACAAGCCCCTAGGCCCATTTTTTTTAATCCTAGGGATCCCAGATGGTAAAGGTGACCATATACTGCACCAGCCCACAGCAGAATTGTTATGCCCTATCCTGGCTCAGAATTATGGTACCTACACCTCTAGTTTTGACACCCATCCCAAGAGGAGTCATCCATGTCCGTTGGATTTGTTTGGTCTTTGAGGAGAGAAAGGTGTTTGACATTATTATGGGAATTGAGGCTCGATTTCTCATTACCAAAATTACAGAAACAGCTGCCTGGGGATCAAAAGTCAGAGGAATCTCCAAGCAGCAGCCTGAAGTCAGACAGAAGAAGGAACCAAGGAGTTTATTAGTACATATATCTGAATTTTCCATGTTTGTCATGCTGCCTAGGAAGCAAGGAAAAAAAGGCCCTCAGACCTTCAGCAGGAGTCCGGAGGAAGAAGACTCCATATCAGGTGTCCTTAGAGATAGAAGACAAGTGAGAAAATTTAAGTTTCAGGGGATCTGATAGGAAAATTTATCAGAAAAGTGATCCAGAGCCATTTGAACTGTTACAAGTAGATACAAATTGCAACTCCTTGAACCTTAGCAGTCACTGGTGTGTGAGGATGACCAGGTTACAGACCCATCCTGTGTGGATTGAGGGCCTGTGAAAAACAGGCTTTTTTTGTAAATCTGTTTCCTGGTAAAATGATTTGGGTGATAGGGTCCCTAGAAGGCTGAGGTAGGCTATGATCAGCATGTTCCCAAAGAAGGTGTTTTAAAAGAGTGAGTAAACATAAGTAGTCATAAAGTGGGGCTGCATCCAGAGGAGGTAAATTTCCTAGGGTGGGGGGAACATTAACCCAAATGGGCTCAGGGTGTGGCCCGAATGTGAGTGAGTGCCGCAGGTAGGAGCTGAGGCCAAGGAAGGTGAAGCTCAGAAAACAGTTTTTATAGAGGAGTCTTAGTAGGTCAATTAACCCTGTCTATCTTTCTCAAAGACTGGGGACAATAGGGAATACAAAGGTGTCACCTCTAAGGGCCTTAAGGCTAATTCAGTGATCTCTGGAAGAGGAACCAGTGCTCTTAACCTCTGAACCATCTCTCCAGCCCATAACTCAGTGACTTTAGAAATGAATTTCAGGCCATTATCCAATTGTATGTATGTAGAAAGTCCAAATGTGGGGTGGGAATAGACCACTTGTGCAATCTCAGCCATAATAGGGAAATCTTCTACCCATCCTACTACAATAGTAAGAAAAAAAATTATGTTTCTTGAAAAGTATATGTGTGAAATCTATCTGCCAGTCTTCCCCTGGAAGATTGCTCCAAAATTTATGTGGGTTGAAAGAAGAAAGGAGTTAAGAGGCCCCTTGTGGGGAGATTTGAGTTCAGGTGGAGGATCTCTGAGTCATAGCCTTAAGGAGAGCAGAAAGGATGAGATGGAAGAAGAAAGACTGTAGAAAGTGACAGATATATCAAGACCCGTTATGAAAGGGCTTATGAATCCTGTCTGAAAAGGTTTTGCATGAGTATTAGGGAGATGGTACCTGTCCTGTAGAAGGAGCCAGCCCTGACTGCCCACAACAGGCTGCCATAGCCTGGAGGGCCTGGCATTGAGACTCAGAGTAGATGGGATTTAGGCTTGGACGAGCCAAAAGGAGAATAGAGGAAGGAAGTGTTACCTTCCTTCTTAGTAGGTGTGTTACCTGGCCTCTTTCACAGGCTTCTCAGTGAGAGCATTTCCCAAAACTATATCATTAAAAGGGGGCCTAGTCACCTCAACAGTGAATAATGGACCACCTGCTTAGGAAAATAGGA